TAGAAGTACTGTGGTGCTTAATCCTACTGATACTTGCAGTGCTATCAGCAAATGTGCTTCTCTAGACACACATCCATGTGAGTTACCACCTGCTAGCGCAGACAGGAGTGATGTGTCCACTCTTCTGTGCCCCGAGAGTACGTAACCTCCTCTGCAGTGTATTCTCACTTCTGGTGCATACCATCACGAGCTAATCCTGTTGTCCACTTCAGGTACGTGAGCGAGACCTGCCCTTCGTGATGCACACACTGGCTGCTGAGTTCACCATCCTCAGAGTAGTGAATGGGGAGACAGTGGCTGCCATGGGCTCGGCTTGCCAGGCAGCTGGTCTCTGTGACACACGGGGGTGGGAAGTATGCCTGCTACCTGCCTTCAACATTCTGGTGAATGTTTATCCTGTTGTAAGGTAATAAACCATCTTAACACATACCTCAGTATATCGCAGTTTGGCTTAGCTTTCTGAGCAATGGTGATGAGCTTTGCTGAGTTTGAGCCTTTTAATACTAGTTTCATATCTCTAGAGGAGACGTGCCTTGTGTAGGAGAGAAGGTTAAAGTACGATTCATTTCAGTTGCAAAAAGAACATTGTCTGTAGCCCATACTTTCATTTTTCAACATTTCAAAGGAAAATGGCTTATAGAAAAGCCTGTTGAAGTACTGCCATGATTTATGCACAGCGAATACTGTTGCTCAGCTTTCACACTTCAGTACCAGCCAGAATCAAGGCCACTGTGAGCCCAGGGCTGTACAGCACCTGAGGATGTTTCCAGTCTAGAGGAACAAGCATCAAGCAAAGGGCACCATCAGGAAAAGGAACGACTTAAATACATATGTTTACCTTCAACCTGTTTGTCATTTTCTGCCCATAACCAAACAAAGCAGGGACCAGTTATTATGAAGTGCCACTCAGCCTCATCACTCGATAGCTATAAATCATCTTGTTTAAGAAAATGAGCCTTACACAAAAAGCATGACGAAGGGCACAGAGGAACACAAATTGATTATGCACAGGTTTGTTTGCTGTGTTGCTGTGTTAAATAGTTGCATGCCGAAATACTGGCTGTTCCTCGGCTATGGGCTGCAGACACTTTTGCCAAGCTGCTGCATGTCAGCTGGTTTTTAATTTTTGTACATATTATGGCAAAATACAAAGCAGGGAAAAGAGGTTGTACTGCCAGCAACCACAGCCAGAGAAATGCCTTCCATAGCCTTGTCTTTTAAATGGTGGAAGCCCGAGTTTATTTCCACTTTTCAGTTTGCGTTGTCCACTTATTTAGCTTGCCCTGTGTTTTTTGTGGATGTCCTGAAAGCCCCTAGGAGCAGAGCGCTGACTGGTGCCCCCATGCAGGGCAGGGTGCCCAGGATGAGCTCACCCTTTACCCCGGGGAGGACATGGCAAGAGCAGGGTGTCCCCAGGCTCTTTGATCCCCGTCTGAGAACCAGCAGGGCTTCAGCAGTGAGGAACTTTCTTACAAACACTGTCAGTTCTCCCTGCGGCTGCTGCCAGTGCGTGGATAACATGTCTGGTGGGACGTGAACCCGCTGCAGACATGGCTTCATAGTTGTGTGTGTCTCTGTGTGTCTTTTTCAGTTCAGAGGCCTGTCATTCATCCCCTTTCCAGTCCGAGTAATATGTTCTGCGTCACCAGCCTGGATCCAGATACCCTTCCCACTGTTGCTACACTCCTAATGGATGTCATGTTTTACTCCAATGGGTAGGTGCCAGCAGGGAGACAGGCTCCCAAGGGCGTTGTGGCCGGCATCTGGAGGCACAAATTCATGTTGCTCCTCCAGGATGCCCAGGGATCTGCTGTGGCCTCATGCTGCTGCGGTGCCCTGCGCTGAGGGAGGGAGGTTTCACAGGTTCAGGAGGGTTGTCCTGGCAGGTGGAAACCAAACAGTAGATGGTGGGTGCCCAAAGACATCTGTTGGCTTTGGAAAGCTGAGCCTTCTCAGATTTAAGCTATGAGTAGCAATATGATCAGTGTGCTGCATATCCAGATATGATGGGAGGCTGTACGGCCAGCTGTCCTGCTGCCCATTGGTGCCTGAGGCTCCTGGCCCCACACGAGGACCTTGGGGCAGAAGTGGGAGAGTTTTGTGGGCACTGGCATTTTTTCCCCTCCAAAATCAGAAAAATGGAAAGCAGTATAATGTGACAGGACTCAGTGTCACTTCTCTTAAGTCAGTCTATGAACATTTCGGGTCAAGGTGGCTATATCTGCTTTAAAAGCCTTCCTTTGCTCTTCTAGCTACAGTTAATGGTGTTCTCTTCTGTTTCTTCAGAGTAAAAGACTCGGTGGTGGGCAACGAAGACTCGGGACATATTCGCTTTTTCTCCTTTTCTCTCATTGAGGGTTACATCTCCTTGGTCATGGATGTCCAGACACAGCAGAGGTGAGCTTTGGTCTTGGGGTCCTGAACCCCGAAAAAGCACCTGGGACGTTCTCAAAGGAGCAAGAAGCAGCTTAAGCTCCTCCATGTTAATTCTTGGGAACCTCCTGTTATGGGTGCCAGGTACCTGGACACCCTGTCACTTCTCTGAGTGAAGTCTGACATGTTAATTCCAGCTCCTGAATTTTGGGCTTGTCTGTCCAAGCCGACAACTAAATCACAAGCCAATGTAATGCAGGGTTACCTCACATTGGAAAGAGGGACACTGGACCAAGTGACTTTGACATTTTTATTCCATTGTTCATTAGATGTGCTTTTAAGAGCAAAAACAAAAAAAAAGTCTGGTATACATGGTTGAAGTTTTACTGCTAAAGGCCAGAAGTAGGGTGGGGACGTCAGTGGTGCTGTGCTCCCACTTTGCTTTTACACATGACTGGGCTTGGTGCGCAGTCTGGTTGTGATGATAACGCACTGAGTCATCCCTGTGCAGCCAGAGCCCGTGACTCGTTTGTCTGGCAAGGAGAACGTCAGCTAGGGAGCAGATAGCAGCCTGTTCGTGTGCGTGCGTGCGTGCTGCTGCCGCTTCACATCCCAGAAGTCGCTGAGGCCTGGAGGCTAGGCAGGATGCTGCACTGAGATGCAACGCATAGATTTGCTTTTGACACACAGTGCAGTGTTTGCCTGCCCCAGGGACTTGTTTTGCAAACTATTAATTGCCCTCTGGAAATTTTCTTCGACCTGAATTGGAGTAAACCTCTGTCTACCTTCAAGAGAGGATAGAGGGTTGGGGCGGCAGCCTGGTGCTTGGGGAACTCGGGCGGCCAGTTCCTTCTTTGTCACAGACTGCCTGCTTGACCTTCAGCAAGTCTCCTAGCTGCTGGTCTGCTTTCCCCTGCTAAGAAATGGGGATCTCTGCATGGTTCCCAGGGACGGTATGGGAAAAGCACTGATGCTGCTCAGACGCAAAAACAGTGGTCACCATTGACATGCCTTGAGAGAGTAGTTATGGAAGCATACTCTGTCCCTAGGTGTTTCTAAACACAGCTCAAATCAAGCCTTCAGATTAACGGTCTTGGGGTTTGTACAGCTGGGGCATGGCCTGTTTCTTAGAAATCTTTTTCTGTGCCTCTCTGGGTGCCTGTGCGCACTTCCAGCATCAGATGCTGATTTACCGTAGGACATCTGGACGGGCAGGCAGGTGCATCTGTCTTGCTTGCCTTGACTTCTCTGAGTTTCACCAGGCTGCTGCCGCCGCTATTGTTGGCTTCAAGCAGCACAGGGATACGGGAACAGCAGCATCGCTGCAGGCAGAATCTGACACACTGCCGTGTTTTAATTGCCACTTTTGGTGTTCCTTTTCTTTTACAGATTTCCTAATAATTTGTTGTTTACAAGTGCATCTGGCGAGCTCTGGAAGATGGTGCGGATTGGTGGGCAGCCTCTTGGCTTCGGTAGGTGAACATTTGGGGGATCAGTTGGTGCACAGGTACTCGGTTGCCTCAGGGCCTTCACAGATGATGGAAAAATCCAACTGAGGCTGAGGCTGTTTAAGAGCCAGCAGCTTAGCATGACTTTGCAAGCTGAGATTTTCAGACGGGAGGAGTCTGACTCCTACCTAATAAGTCAGACTTCTAAATATACTTTGGAAAGTGCTCCATGCTTGACAGCTCCATCCAAATTGCATTTATCTGCTGGACTTTGGAGGTAGCTGCAGCTGGGTCTCTGTTAAAGAGAAAAAGTAGACAAAGAGATGGCATGGGAATGCGTTGTAGATTGCTGGAATCGGTGGTCGGAAAGCACTGTCATACTCCAGTGCAGTCCTTGGGCAACTCTGTGGCTTTAGTGAATTCAGTATAGATTTATAGCCCTCCAAGTGGGGGTCCTGTTCATAGACCTGTTTCACATCCAGTGCGGCAAACATTTGCTCTACTCATAAGAACACTGGACCTCGTAACACGGAGTAAATGCTTCACATCTGCAAAAGTAGTATTGTTATTTTTATGCCCCCTGTAATTTGATGGAGTCCAGTCTGAATACCGCAACAAAGGCCTGATTTTCAGAAAACACTGGAGCTCCTTCCCATGGTCTCCGAAACAAGATACAGGCTTCAAGAACATTTCTGAGAAATGTTTGACCAGTTTTTGTATTGAGTTGCTACTTCTGCACCAGACAAACAAAAGCAGCAAGAAGGAAATTGTCATACACCTTTTCTTTGTGCATCTTAGAGGCAAAATATGTAGAAATGGCATGGTAGATGTTATTGATGGGACAGCAGGACACCTGCCTGTCCCCTAAACATGCAATGTTTAAATATGTTAGCTTAGAATCAAGTTGAAATGTTCAGTTTGGATGAGGGAAACTCAGATTTTGTCTGGATACGAAGTACCCCTGATCTACAATGAACAGGACAGGTGAACCATTTAAATTGACGTGAAAACCTGTCTCAGGCTGTGGTGGTGGGCTGTGGTCTAGTCTAGGAACCAACCATGTGTCCAGACCAACCAGCGGGTCAGCATCTCCTCTCTCAGAAATGCAGAGCAAAGTGTTTAATTGCAACAACTAAGAGAAAAATGGAGGTTAGGGGTATATGAGACTGTCTTTGGTGCTTCCTTCCTGAACGTCATTAATTGCTTTTCTTTGGATCTCTGAAAATCCTTCTGGTTTTAATGTTTTGTTCCTCTGGGGGATTTATGTGTCTCTGTACTGAAAAGAAGGCAACAAAATCAATTGTGCAATGTATCGTTGTGGCCCAGAGAGCCTGATTCTGTGAGAAAGAACGCGTTTTACTAGAGAGATCCCTTCTGATGGGAGTTTGTGAAGACAAACCCCTTCCTGTACGTGCACGGAGCTGGCGAGACCCCAGAGTTCTGTGCGACAGACAGGTGCTGCTCAGACAATGATGGAGTTTTTATCTCCCCCACAGATGAATGTGGAATTGTCGCTCAGATTTCTGAGCCTTTGGCCGCAGCTGACATCCCAGCCTACTACATCAGTACTTTTAAGTTTGATCACGCGTTGGTGAGTATCAAGACAGCTTTGAAATAGGGGGGATCTTTTCCCTGGGAGAAAACTCATGATGAGATCATCATTTCCCATCTGGAGAACTTGTTGGAGTGCCTTTGCTCTGATGTAGCCCAGCAGATACCTCTCTCCAGCCTTACCCCAAGGCAAAGCAGTGTCAGGGAGTGTCGATCTTGCAAAGGGCTGACCTCAGTCCTTAAAGACCTGTGGCAACGGAGACGTCACAATCTCCCCTAGCAGTCTCTTCCACTGCGTCAGTCTTTTATTAGAAACAGCACAAACTGTGGCAGGCTGGTCTAGTCGAAGATGTCCCTGCTCACTGCAGTGGGGTTGGGCTAGATGACTTATAAAGGTCCCTTCCAACCCAAACCATTCTATGATTCTATGAAACCCTCTCTGTTTTCCTGCAAGCATAGTTGGAGGCTCCAGACTCTTAGGAGGGTGCCCTTGTGCGTGGGAACTATTTTGGAGGGTCTCCTAATAGCAGACCCCTGCCTTCGTCTCTTGGTACCTGCCTGGCCCTAACCTTTGCATTTAGAGACCCATCTGTGAGTCCTGATTAGTTCTGCTGTCTCTGCATTGTCCTTCTCATGGTGCAGGCCTTTAATAAAATAGCAATAATTGTCAGCACAGCAAGGGAAGGTGATTTTGAAGCAGAGAAAGGTGCTGCCATGTTTGGTTTTGTGAGTGCCTGTAGCAGTTGCAGCACAATCATCAGCAGGGGGGTCTTGCCATTTGTGCAGACTTCTCTCTTCTCTCTTTGCTTCGCTTCGCTTCGCTTCTCTTTTATACTGGTGGATATTTTACCTTCCAGACATTAAGCCTACATCTGCTCTCCCTTGGCACCCTCAAAAATGAGGAATTTTCCTGAAAAGGGGAACATTGCCATGCCTGTAGCCACAAACAGGATGGCATTTGACTTGGAGCCCATTCCCCAAGTCCTGAGGGATGGAGTCAGTAACCCACGCGCTAACAAAGCTAACAAAACTCTGCTGCTTTGTGCTTTTTGGTTTTTTTTTTTCTTCAGTGTGCCCTTTATTGCATTGTGCTGCGCCTTTCATCACTGTAAATTCACTCTCCAGGCCCTGCTTTTCACCTGTAAAAGCGCCAGTGAGTTCAAGGTGGGATTTTTTCGGCTAATTACTTTGGTTTTTCACAGTTGGTGTGAACCACTTGCAGCCTATAGGTCCTGTGTATAAAGAGTAAAAGTAAATATTATTCCAGATAGCAAAGGTCAAAGCATTATATATGTTTGTCTTATTTTCTTGAATATTAACTGTACTGATAAGATAAGCTAATAAAACACCATTTTGAAATCAATACTCTTAGCTTTGCCTCACATTCCTGCCTGTTGTTGTGGCCCCAGGTGCATGCTTTCTGTGCAGAGCACAAGGTGCAGAGTGCTTCTAGTTGTCAAGCACTATCTGGAGAATGAAGCCCTGTCAGTTAAAGTAGATGTTTCACTTAAAACTCGTGCCATCCAGTTGTGATGACTCTGCAGGCAGCTCCACCTTCTGTAAGCATCTCATCCGGCTGCATCTGAGCCCAGCAGATCCCTGCCTCCAAGCAGCTGGCAGGGTATTATTTAGACCATGCATGAAGATCTGCAGATCTTCCTTACTCAAACCAGTGTTTTAGCATTTTCCTTGCTGCTTGCGGTTTTCTTTTCTTGCGGTTTTAAAAGTTTCATCTGGACAGTGCTATTCTAGCTGTCAAACCCTTCCATCGTGTGGAAGGTGCATTTCAAGCCCTCCTCTGCTTGCCTTTGCTCCTGGAGTGGTGGCTGGGCTGTGTGCTTGCTGGCTCTAGGCTGGTTTTGTTGGCCAAGACCCTGACCAAGATGCTGTCATGTTTTCCCTAACTTTGCTACCCAGATACCTTGACATTTCTCAAGGTTGAAGTTCATGTTGAATTCTTTCTCTGCATCCTCCCTTTCCTTATTTAAGGTTGTTCAGTACTTGCTGTCAACAGTTTAGAGTGCTTTGTAAAAGCTTGTTGTTCCCTTTCTCCTAATCTTTTTTCTCTTGTGCATCTTAAGGTGATTTTTGTTGCTTAATTTTTTAATAGACCTCGGTGTTAATACTCAGGTCTTCCTGCAATGCTGTAGCTGCCCTGGAAATCAGGACCTGTGCTGGAGAAGAAATCCCTTTGGGAGACAAAGCGGAGATGGGAACCTCCAGGTCTTTGATGTGTTCCCTGGGTGACAAAGGGTTGGGCTGGAGAGAGCTATGGTTTCCAGCTCCCTCTAGAGAGAGCAAGTGAGAAGAGTCCCTTTTCCAGGTGCTTTGCTCTCGCTGCTTCATGCTCAGAGGTATCTTGCTGTTCTTCACCAGCGTTTTGCATCTAATGAGGCTGAAGCTACACATCTGGGACATAGTTTGGAGCTTTGCTTTTCCCTTCATGGTAGATGCTTTGATCTGCCCTCTGGCTGAACATGTGGCACCAGCTGCTGTGCAATAGGGATCTTGTCTACGGGGCAGAGATGGGTAGGACTTCTCCACTGGTGGCAAACTAGGATGTGTCCTAGAAATCAAAACTGTTTGCACATCTGTCCTGAAGAAAATCCAACCCCAGTATCTGTGTATGATTGGTACCATTTCCTTGACGTTAAGGGAGTCAAGCACTTTGCAGTGAATGAAGGATCAGCCCATTGTGTTTGATGGAAGAGGTGGGTCTGTGCAGGTCAAAGCCGGGGGCTGGGACTGGCTGGTTCTGCTGCCTCCTGCTTCTCTACTGCGCTAAAGGAGCGTACGGAGACACCCGATGATCATCTGCTGGGGCTGGCTAAGGAAATGGGTTTTGCAAAAAAGATTCCTATGTCTTTTTTCTGGAGAAGCAGAGTCATACAGCTTCTTCCACTGCAGCGTTCAGTGTACTGGGAAAAATGATGGAGGAACGGCAGTGGAGAGTCCTGTCTGGACGTCCTGTTTCCTATGGTGGAGGTTTGTTGGGTTTTCTTCCTAACCCAGAAGAGTTCTCTGTAGGGTTGCTTGAAGATTATTTTCTTCCTTTCCCAGGTGACTCTTGTTCGTACATCATCAGAGTTAGCCGCTCCTGTTGCATCTTCCCTTCGGAAAATTGGACTTTTTTCTTGTTTTTTGTCAGAGGGTTTTTTCCTCAGTTTTGTTAAAAGCCTTGCAGAAAACCAAAGTCTGGTGGTATTTCCACTGTCTGAGCTCTGGAGGGTGTCCAGAGAGTCCAGATATGGTGCTCCTGGCCAAGGACTCAGATACCTCACAGAGCAGACAGCCCCTTCTTCAACTTACTTAATGTGAATTATTTTGGCTTCTTGCAGCAGCTGACAGATAATTTATTTTTCCCTCAGTCCCCTTTCCACTTTCCAAGAGCTGTTAGCTGCCTGTCCCCTGAGTGTCTTCTCCGAGTTTAGGTAACGGCCAGGCGCCTCTTTTCTGTCTGATGTAACTTTACTGGTGATTTTCTTTTCTGCCGATGACAGTCGCTCTGAGATCTTCTGTATTTTCTGTTACAAGGGGTTTTTCTTGCAGTAAGCGTGAAAAGACACCCACTAATAATTTTGTATATGGACTTCTTTGGCTGAGTCTCATCACAAAACTGGATAAGAAAGCTGAGGTGTTGCACCACACCATCTGGGACCCCCCACGACAAGTAGACTGCCCAGACTGGCAGTTCACTGCTTTCTTTGATGGACATGTCCCCCTGTCACCCAACGTGGTCTCCCCGCCCTCAGTTATGGGTCCCAAACCTGTAGAATGTGCTGGAGAGCCTCGTGGGGCCCTTAGGCAGCCAGGTAAATCCATCAGCACAGGCACCTTGCATGAGTGAGCTCCTGGTGTACAAATGCTGTGAGGCATAAATCAACTCTCTGGAATATTTGTGGTGATAAATGAACTACAAGGACCCTTGGAGCTTTACCTGGGCATCCCCTTTCCTCCTCTCTGTGAAGCTGTATTGGGAATTGTGAGAAATAAGGTGCTTTTTGGACCGGCAGTGGCTCTCTTGAGCCAGCCCCAGCGCCGGGGCAGTCACAGCACCGGAAGGGTGCTCAGGTTGTCTGTTGCCTGGCTGCAGTCCCAGGTGGGGAGCAGCAGTACGCGACCACCCGCAGGGTCAGCGCTGCTCACCCCAGCGAGGCGCTTTACCAGGGAAAGGAAGGGAAAGGAGGGGAGAGGAAGAGCAGAAGGAAAGGAAAGCCCCAGAACAGTTGCCTCCCCAGCAGCACCCGCCGTAGAGACAGCAGACGAGCCTTCTCTCACACACGGTGCTTGCTCCTGGGGCTACCACAGGTTAACCCTTTTGAACCGGAGGGCGTCTCTTGTAGACAGAGTCCTTTCTCAGCAGAGTTCAGGTGCCCGACAGTAAAATACCTGGCTCCTTGGGGCTGTTCTGGCTTCATCTCCTGCCTTTCCTTTCCTTGCCGTCCCTCCCTGGCTTTTGCTAGAGCATGACGTTTCTTTTTGTTTTCTTGCAGGTACCTGAAGAAAATATAAACGGTGTGGTCAATGCACTCCAAGTCAGTCAAGCTGAAAAGCATTAGAAATCTTCTGAGCTGGTTCCAGATGCTTTTTATTATTATAATTATTATTATTATTATTATAATTATTATTATTATTCTTTTTTTTCTCACAGTATTTCTTGAAAAATCTGATTCCAGAGAGTTACATGAAAATAGACTGTGGAAAGTTGAGCAGAAACAGCTCCAATAAGCCTTTGTTTTAATTATTATTATTATTGTTATTTTATTAAATTTATGAGTGAGAGGCAGGAGGAAAGGGAGTTTAGACGGTTTCCTGACGCTCAGCTCCAAGGCAAAGTGTAACCTGCCCGTGTTCCCGGTGTGGAAGGAGCTGCCGAGGGCCACCCATCTCTCCCGAAGCGCGGGTGACCGCATGCGCGGGCGCTCTGCCGAGAGCTTCGCAGCATGGCTGGGACGGACGGGCCGTGTGCGCAGAGAGAGCCCTGAGAGCCGTAAACAGAATGAAATGTGGAATTAAACAGAAAAGGCGTCGCATAGTGCTGGCTCGTCTCCTCGCATCAGACTTTCTGAGGACTGTCCGTCGTTGCGTATGTTGAGATAGGATGGGAATTAGGTTCTGTTTCCCCTGGCAAAACTGTTAGGTGTTGGAAAAGGGGAAAATATCGCGGTGTTTGAATTTTCTCTTTCTCCCTGGCTGCTGCGAGAGAACCTGGGCAGGAGGAGCGTTGCTCTGGCCCACCTCCTGGCAGGTGGTGCCACCAAGACTTCTGACTGCATTGAAACTTGGCTGTTTTAGCTCAGTTTTCCCCAGTCACCCTCCCACCACCCCCAGTGTCCGCCCACCATGTCTCCTGCTCCAGGGCAGCTGCTGTCTCCTCGCCCCCACGTCAGAGTCATCCCCGAGCCCTTGTCCCCCAGGGCCAGCAAGAGGAGGGAGGTGTCTCTTCTCCTGGCCCCGCGGGTGTTTTCCCATCCACTTTGTGCACGTTCAGGGGGACATGAAGCATCGCCCGGGGTCCCTGGGTGGCTGCTCCTGTAGCCAAGAGCCGCAGCGGGTTATCCCCACCAGGGCTGGGAGGATGCCCAAGCCCTGCTGGGACCCTCCTGCAGTTTTTCGTCAGCTCCTTCATTGCCAGGGTGGAAGTCACTGCCAGCTGGGGACCTGGCTCCTGGGGTTTTTCCGTTGGGTTCAGCGGGCGGCCCTTCAAAAGCAGAACGGTGCTAAAAAAGCATAAAACCCAAGGCGTCTCCTTCTGGTCTTGTCGCGGGAAGATGGTGTGGGCTTTTCCCATGGGGCAGCAGGAGCGTGTTTGCTGCGGGGCGGCGGAGCCAGGCGTTGAGGCCCATTGTGGCACCCAGCTCCGGATCGTGCCCGCGGCCGCTCCCAGCACCGTGGAAGACAGTGGTGACCGGTTCTGGGAGAGCCAGTGCCAGCACCCGCAGCCTGCACCACGCTGTGACCGCGCAGCGAGGGGTGGAGGAAAGGAGACGCCGTCTGCAGAGGGCTCTGCTTTTATGGTTAGGAGCCCAAGGATTTCTTGTGTTTCTAGACTTCTTCCAATTTCATTTTTGATATGCAGAATCTGCAGGTCTTACAGTTTTAAGGAGGGCTTTCTGGCCTTGCTGAAGAGACGGTCTCTAGCGCAGTTTTGCTGAGCCCGTGTCTTGCAGGTTGGAGCCAGGGTTTTGCGTTGGTCTGGAGGCAGTAAGCAAGCACCTGAGATCACGCCACGGGCACAGTGTGTAGGGCATGCAGAGAGGTTTATGCGGGTGCGTGGGGCATGCAGATGCGCACACACCAGCTTACGGCTTGCTGCTTTGTTCTCCACTGACGGTGCTGGAGGGCTGAGATGAACGTTTGTGGTTTCTGGTGCTGCTGGACCCGGACATCGAGTTTCAGATCTTTCTGATTTCTCGTCGATGGGATGTTGTGTGGCAGCTAGACAGGGAATCAGAGCATCCACAGGAGAAATCGTGGGCAACTTTCCTCTGTAGGCCCCAGCAGAGTTAAATCCTGCTGAGAAATGCTTAGGCACACGTTTGACATTTCATCCTACAGTATGTTTTGCTGTTCCTTTACATGGATTTTCAGAATTGCCCCATGATACTTTATGTTCACTCCAGGTTTCTAGAGTAAAGGTTTATTCCTGGTGCGGCACCAGGCATCTCTGGCTGTTTGGCTGGGAAGATGCTTTGGTCTCCTGCCGCGTGCCGAAAGGACGCGAGCACAGGCTGTGCAGTGTTTCAAAAAAAGCACTCAGAGATGTGTTGTGGGAAGCTGCGGGCGTCGTTGGCAGTGAGCGGAGCTGAGGGATGAGGCAGGGCCGTCACGCCATGAAAATTATTGAAGGGTTTCTTCTCGGGAGGGCAGGTCGGGGTGTTTGTAGGACTGTGCGGGACTTTTCCGGAGCGGGATAGCAGCCCGCCGGTTGCTGTACGGCTCCTGAGTGAGCAGCCAGGCTTGCTGAGGAGCCGAGCTGAGCCTGAGCGTTCGCTGTGTGCGGGGACAGTTCTGCCTTTGTGCTCCTGGGTTTTGTCAGCCATTGGAAAATGGTAATTTCGCCACTTCCAGCATCAGAGAGCAACATGCGTTGCCCTCTGCGTGTGCTAGTGCTGCTTCCCAAGGACCGCGACATGTACGGTGAAGAATTGCTTGAAACAAGCATCAATTTTACTGAACCTTAAGAGAAAGCGAGAAAAATAGGGTTTAATTTTTTTTTTTTAACTTTGCACTCAGGCTATTTTAGAGGCTGATTTTTAAATTCAAATTTTCCACTTTTTTTTCCCAAGGGAGTCGGCCTTGAATTTGTGATATTTGTAGAAATTTTGGGGATGTTTCAGACCTTCACAAAGCAGGTTGAAGTCCTAATGAAAGTTAGCCTGAAAAATTCACAAGGTGTAGAATGCCATTGAGGGACTCTGTGTCTCTGCCATCATCCTCCGCTTCACCCCTTTATTTCCCCTCTCGTTTTGTCCTGAGAACCAAGAAGATTGTTTCGGACAACTTGGGGTAGTTTGATGCTTTCCCTTTAGCATTCCCCGCGTGGCCTTGCTGGTGGGAACGGAGATACTCTGAATTCAGCCTGCGTTGGCTGAACCTGGAACCAGAGTCCTGGGGAAGGGCAGTCCGGCGCCTGGGCAGGAGCAGTGCGAACTCGAGCAGTGGTGTTGCTTCTGAGCCCTTCACTGGGCAAGGCAGGAAGGGGTCTTCAGGGGCTTTGTTAAAATGAGTAGTAATAATAGTGATAAAACATGACAATGTTTAATGAGCCCAGAGTGTAGTGGCTCTTGTAGCCGCTCAACAGCTCCCGCTTTCCCGGTACATGGCCTTTGGGGTGGGGAAAAATTGAAGGGTCTTTTTTTTTTTTTTAAATGCCTTATGATAATAACGTGTCTGAGCATCGCCGGCATTGTGCTGTTCAACGCTGCATGGGTCAGAGGGGGAAGGTGTCTCAGTGGGATGCCCTTCAGCTGGGCCTCTGCGTCGCCGCAAGCCCGGATCCCCCGCCAGCCGCCCGCGCTGCCCCGGG